TTTGCTTGACTGCGGAGGAAGATTTTACCATGTGACTCACTTATCTGATTCATCAGATCGGCTTGCCGTAACAATATACTCTACCTAAATACACTATAAATTTATAATAATAATAAAAACACCCCGCCATTACTTTTTTTTTGGGGGGGGGGGGACTGCACATACCAGACACTGGCAAAAACCAAGAGAAGTACTGCATTTGAAAAATCAATTGGATTATTTGAGATGAGACAACCATATTGCTCTGCAAAAATTGGTTTATTATATTCGGGAAGAGAAATTTCCTTGATTTTTATAGTTGCAGTCCATACTCACATTACAATTGATATGTCATTTTACTTGAGATCAGTTACGGGACTTTGTTTATCCACCTTGAATGGTAGTCTAACTAAACAAAACATGTAATAATTAACTGTCCTCATTATATTTACTGTAAGTGCCCCTTGATTTGAGGCGAGGCTCCATATTACTAGGTATGATTGTTATTTATTTGATTTTGTTTTGTTTTGATTTTTTTGATTGATTGATTGATTGATTATTTATTTTTTGATTTTATTTAATATTAACTAATTTAGGGACAAGATAATTAATCAAAATATAGGATCAACCACGAATCAGCAAAGAAGTCCGTTTTTTTCAAGATCCACATGGAGCCGTTTTTATATCACCCATCTCCATAATTCACCAATGCTTTCCGCATCCTGTCATAAGCCTGTTATCACTCTGGACGACAAACGCGATTTGTGGTCGCTTCATTTCGAAAAAAAAAGCATAATAATAAGTGGCCTGTTCCTCACAGAATAACGTCCGATTGCAAGATCACATATATTCGCAAAACTAATGAATGGAAGTTTACGGGACGCAAAAACAACTCCGCGAAACCCAAGCGGATAGTTCTATTCATGCAGTTTCCATTGACCCTGGCGTTCGTACCCCCTTCACATGGTACAGGTGTAGGTAAAATTGGTCAATACGACATTGGACGGATTATTTGTCCATGCAAGCATATGGATCTATAAAGGACAAGCTGGCTGCCTCTAGTTCAAAACGTAAGAAGAAACAAGCCTTGCGACTTGATAAGGCAATCTTTCGGATGCGACGAAAAATCAAACACCTGTGAAGTTCATAAAAAAAGTGTCGCATTTTTTACTCGCGAATTCGATACCATTATCATCCCTCCTTTTGAGATGTCGAACATGGTGAAAAAAACAAGAAGGACAACACGAAAAACCGTTCGCCAAATGCTCTGTTGGGGCCACGATCAATTTCGCCAACGCCTGGTGGCTATACTTCAAAAACTTGCAGCTGCGTTCAAAAAAACAGGACGAAATTGTGGAACTGTGAAAATGGCGCTCGGGGAATCTTCCTCCGGGCATTACTTGATGGAGCCTTGATTCTCTCCGAAATCATGCAGGAAATAGTAGTAATGCCTACTATTGATATGTTACAATCCATCCGGACTTAGGGAATTGTTCTTACTCAAGATTCTTTTTAAACCCAATAAAAGCCTTGTGGGCAATTAATAAAGAGAAACGTTGAAAAGAGGATGCCAAAAATATTAACAATTTATAGATGAAGAGTGGAGTAGTATCCCGAATAACGTTCTAATTAATTTTGTAGAGTCAATGTCTCAGCGTTGTAAACTTATTGAAAGCAGCGGAGAACGTATTAATTCCTAATTGGGATTAATAACGTACATGTCGTATGTGATATTAATCTTAATACTGAGTTGGTGATAGTATTAAATCACTAGTAGTAAATGCTGCAACGCTCTTGACAGTTAAGTGTATTACTGTAGTTATTATTATTAGTATTTTTATTATTATATGTCACGTGCAGCCAATTCCAAAGTATCTAATATTAATATTGTAAAAGCAGATTATAATTATGATTATCAATGTATTAATATTAATATTAACCTACTTTAACTCACACAATTGATTATCTTGAAAAAAACCCAGTACTCGTTTGGTACTTGTTCCACGTGAGTGGAAATATAATTCCCTTTCGACTTTATAATTGGCCAATTTACTGCTCGTTTACAGAGCAAAAGTGCAACCGGCAGTATTTCAAGCATGGAGAAGATACCTGAACACAGAAAGAATGCCTTTAAAGCCAAGAGTATCTTCAAATTGGACGAAGTGCGCAGGCGCCGTGAAGAACAACAAGTCGAAATACGTCGGAAGAATCGTGAAGAGTCCTTGGCAAAACGTCGTAACTTGAACATACCCGCCTCACTAGACTCCGACGATGAGACTGCTGATTGGGATGTACAAGTAAGAGTCATTACAACCGTGTCTGCAATAATAGTGATTGCTTGTGTTGCTCATGTTGTCAATCAATAAGTATCGCGATCATTTAGTATAATATTAATGACAACAACGAAATCTGCGGTGTTATTATCATTGCTGCCCAGCTAAAAATATGAATGGAAACACTTTCGGCTGCTCTTTATATTTATTTACGTGTCTGTCATACTTTAAGCTTCAGGACCAACTGCAAAGTATGATGACAGGGGTGTTCTCCGACAAAGTTGAAGAGCAACTGGTTGCTACTACAAAATTCAGGAAATTGCTTTCAAAGGAACAAGACCCACCTATCAAACAAGTAATCGAATGCGGAGTAGTACCAAAGTTGGTTGAATTTCTCAGGTCTCCCCATTCACTTGTGCAGGTGCTCATTTTCATATGTACATTCGGATAAGTCGTCAGACTCCAAACTATTACTAATTCATTTCGGATTGAATTGTTGCAGTTTGAGGCAGCGTGGGCACTCACTAATATTGCCTCCGGATCGTCTGGACAAACCCAAGAAGTAATAGACGTGGGCGCGGTACCTGTTTTTGTTGAGCTACTGAGCAGTTCAAATTCAACTCCTGATGTAAGAGAACAGGTAACTACATTGGTTAATATATCAATTACCGCAAAGGCAAATGAGATAAATTGCCGGAACCAAGATATTCGAACAGGAAAGGCATATTCGGATTTACCTAGCTGCAGCGCGATTTGTGTTCTGACAATCATTAGTTCGTACGCGGCATGCAGTCAATTGATGTGGTTTTTTATTGCTGATAACCACGAGTTGTATATGTGTATGACTAACGGTTTTAGTTCCAGGCTGTATGGGCTCTAGGTAATATTGCAGGTGATAATCCTCGATGTCGTGACTATGTCTTACAACAAGGGGCTCTTAAGCCACTGCTCGCTATCCTCAATGATGCCGCTAAGCTTTCTATGTTGCGCAATGCCACATGGACGCTATCGAACCTCTGCCGTGGACACGTTCAAACGGATGAGTCGTTGGTAGGACTCCATATTCGTAGTAATAGTGGCGGATTTACACTACACTAACTAACTAGACTTATAGATTACTACAGTCCTTCCGGTGCTGGCTAAACTCATCTATTCTATTGATGACGAGGTGGTAATTGGTGCGTGCTGGGCGATAACATATTTATCCGATGGTCCCAACGAGAACATACAGGCGGTTATAGATTCAGGCATATGTCGGCGTTTAATTGAGCTATTAATGTAAGTGTCATACAGGTCCATTGCTAATCTACTATTTCTATACATGTTCACAATTGCCATATACACAGGCACGCTTCACCTTCAGTGCAAACGCCAGCTCTGCGGTCTGTCGGAAATATTGTTGCAGGAAATGATGTGCATACTCAGGCTATTATCAATTGTGGGGCATTGCCCGCTCTATTGAGCTTATTGTCTAGCACAAGAGAAACACTTCGCAAAGAGGCATGCTGGACTATTTCAAACATTACCGCTGGCTATTGTGCCCAGATACAAGCTGTAATAGACGCCAACATTATACCTCCCCTTATCAATATATTGCAGCACGCAGATCTTAGAACGCGTAAAGAAGCCTGCTGGGCAATATCAAATGCGACAGCCGGTGGTTTAAACAAGCCCGAGCAGATTAAATATCTTGTTAGTCAAGGATGTATTAGACCGCTTTGCGATCTGTTAGCTTGTATGGATAACAAAATCATACAAGTCGCTCTTGACGCTCTTGAAAATATTCTCAGGGTTGGCGAAATGGAGAAGGTTGACGGAGTAAACCAGTTTGCACTCTATATTGAAGCAGCTAGTGGTATGGAGAAAATCCATAATCTCCAGAATCACAATAATGAAGATATATATAGGAAAGCATACAATTTAGTTGACAAATATTTTGCAGCAGATGAGGAAGAGGACACCAGCCTTGCACCCGAAATGAATACATCAACTGGTCAATATGCTTTTCAGGCAGACACTACCTTGCCACAAGGTGGCTTTACATTTGGTGGACAGCAGGCTTCATAATGTTTACACTGTATATAGTAATATATGTGTTGCTAGTCTATATCACGTCTTCTTTATGTTGGCTTCAATGCTGATATCAGCTTTGAATGTATTACTTTATTTTTATTTCATATTATCTTCAATAATTCACGCATTACCACATTATCTTTATCTCCTTCCTTCATAAATCATGTCTGTCGGACCGACAGTAGAATTATAGTACAATGGGCATTGAATTCGTATGCTGAAATATTAAAAATATCCTTGCATGCAGCAATAAACGATGACTACATCATTTGCTGAGATCAACAGGCATTCAATCAGAAGCTCGTTATTGTCGCATTCTGCGACGTTGCTACTCCATCTACGGGACTGTGGTAACTCACGTTGTAATTGTCATGAAATAGTTTAGGTATTGGGAATGTTGGCCCATAATATTAGCGTTTGATGTGGAAGCTTGAATTAAGGGAACCTGACTCATTCACAGTACGCGAAAAAAGTTTTTGGAATAGCGTTTTATTAATTGCGCAACGAGGAATAATCAGACAATAAAAATTTACAGCTATGCTCTTCATAGTACAACACATTGTCTTACTTATTGCCATTTCCAATATCTTCCCAAAAAACTTTGATTTTTAAGCTTCTTCATATCATATATTTAAAAAGGCAAGATAGAAAGTTAATTTATGCAAAGTGTAGGCGCACAGAGTGGTTATGATCTTGCGACGTCGGTCAATCAAAATTCTTGTCGTTGTAAACGAAAAGTGTAAACAAACAAAACAAATGGCGCAAGTTACAAAGTTATGCGACCGAGTTTTCTTGGAGGCGTTACATGCATAAGAATAGAACGCACAAAACGTATTACACAGTGGCTCTCGATAAGATGATGTCGTCAGGCCGGATCAAAAGGATCATATTATCGAGCGTTCATTATATCGAGCGTTCTCGTTATAACGAAAGCCATTGTTATAACTGATTTGGGCCCAGGAAAAAGCATCATATTAGCGAACATCATATTATCGAGGGATCATTATATCGAGAGCCACTGTGTAGTTGACTGTTTTGATTAGACGCGTATTTTGGAAGGAAATAAAGTCTATGCATTTTATTTTTTTCGCGACTGTATCTTTGGAGCTTTTATGGTCGAAAATAACGGCCAATATAGCGAAATCTATCGGCCAAGCTGTACGCCGTAATATCAATATCATTACGTTCTCTTACCAATAAACTCAACCATTATAATATCGACGTACAATTGGCAGACATTTAGAGTCTCTAGGCTATAAAAAAGCTTTAACCACGCCAATGCTCACAGAGGCAAGCATTAAATGCTAGGTATGATTTTTTGTTTTGATTTATTTATTTATTTACTTATTTATTTACTTATTTATTTATTTGTTTGTTTGTTTATTTATTTATTTATTGATTGATTGATTTCATTTAACTAAATAATTAACCAAAATATAGGATCAGCAAAGTTCATTTCGATCCCGAAAAGATTTGCAACAATTCATGCGCAGAATTTTTCAAAATCCACGTGGAGCCGTTTCATATTACCATCTCCAATGTCCGTCATAAGCCTGTTATCACTCTGGACGACAAACGCGATTTGTGGCCGCTTCATTTCGAAAAAAAAAGGTATAATAATTCCTCACAAAATAACGTCCGATCGCAAGATCACATATTCGCAAAACTAATGAATCGAAGTTTACGAGACGCAAAAACAACTCCGCGAAACCCAAGCGGATAGTTCTATTTATGCAGTTTCCATTGACCCTGGCGTTCGTACACCCTTCACATGGCACTCTCCTACTAAAGGTGTAGGTAAAATTGGCCAATACGACATTGGACGGATTATTCGTCTATGCAAGCATATGGACAATTTTCTTTCTATAAAGGACGAGAAATCAAACACTTGCAAAGCGAAGTTCATGTCGCATTTTTTACTCGCGAGTTTGATGCCATTATCATCCCTCCTTTTGAGGCGTCGAACATGGTAAATCGAAAAACAAGAAGGATAACACGAAAAACCGTTCGCAAAATGCTCTGTTGGGGCCACTATCAATTTCCCAACGTCTGGTGGCTAAAGCAGAAAAATTAGATGTCCATGTTATGAGGCCTATACTTCAAAAACTTGCAGCTGGTGTGAAAAAATAGGAGGGACAAGTGTCGAAATTGTGGAACTGTAATGAAAATGGCGCCCTCCGGGCATTGCTTGATGGAGCCTTGATTCTCTCCGGAGATCATGTACTATTGATATGTTACAATCCATCCGGTGCAGATGCAATCTTTTATAATTGTTCGATTATTGGATATTCTTTTTCTTAATAAATTTTCGGAAAATTTTAAATCCAGCCTGTTAAGTTTGGTACATTATTATTCAACAACTTTACTGAATCGTTATATCGTTGGAACTTGCAATGTCTGGTTTTATTTTTTGAATCGGTTTCTGCTTTATTGCTATACCAACGAAGTACTCTATTTATAAAAAATTGAAAAGCAGTTCGGCACGGAATAGTTCTTTGACCAGTTACATTCGCACATTCGACGCGTTTTTCTTTTGTTTTGCCAGTCAACCTTGGGGTTACCTGTTGTGAGGACTGATATTAAGTAATGACGTACATTTCCCCGAGTATTTTCGATGGTTTTTAGAAATAGAGATCATAAGCTAAAGCCAAGTGTGAATGCAAGATTACAATTAAGCACAACTTAGCGAAAAAACATTCGTCAATTGAATGCTGTTGTGAAAGATAAGATACCATATTGCAGCACTATGCTGTCGCCTATTATGGTTGCAATTATTCCAAATGTTCGTATACTTCATTCAGATCGATAAATTGAATTTAATATTAGTTATTTGTATCCAATAGGAAGCAGCAAGTTGACAAATTAACTATTGTTAGATAAGAATGGAAGGGATACCCGAAAGAAGCGTCTGACGATAATTATGTTGAGCGCACTAGAAACCACATGGCTGTTCGATTTATACTTGTCGTGTTGAATTACATTTCTTGATTCTTTAGATTAATCAATCGATCACGTTGTCCAGTAAAAAATCCCCTTGGAAAAAGCATAACTGTATGCTGTTGGGGAAAAGGCCTTGTACTTCGATATCGGCAACAAAGTGGAGACTTATTCCAGAACTGAATGACTTGCTAAAGTTATGTCAATGATAACACCTATTCATAATTAAAAATAGACGCGTGTAACGATAATTTATTATAATTAAGAATAGGATATCCCTCATTATTGATATGTTCTTAAGTTCTTGAGTTTCTCTGATCTTTATGCTCCAATGATCTAATAAAGAACGTCTTGATAATACTTTGATTGTATATATTTAAGAAAATGGTTAAAGAGAATCAATATTAATAATTAACTTGCTAACAATTGTGAACACTTTAATTAAGGATTGACGAACATTAGCGTAATTGAAAGCGTTAATACGAAATTCCTTTGCTACTACTTAAGAATCACGAATAATAAGAAACGTGATATAGGCCGGTTCTCACCTTATTGTTGATGAAATCGTATTAACTACGTGAGTCAGAAACCCAAGTAACAGACACAGCTATCAAGAGGAGCTTCTTAGAAGTAAAAATCTCAAAATCAGCCGATAATAATAATTCGCTCTTCCATATTAGCTGGCACGACACTAATTCAGTGATTCTTTTATAAAGTTTTTTTTTATGTCACTACTTTTCTAAATGCATTGTCCATCCAAGAACTCATGGCAGTAGTAAAAGTATATAATAAATAATACGCGGACTATCTTGCTGTAAATAGAGAAATCAGCTAATAGACCTGGGTTCAAATGAGTATTAGTATTGATATTAAATCAAGAAAAAATTAAGACAGAATATAATGTGATCAAGAATCAAAAGAATCTTACCAAAGAACAACTCACATATTGATCGTCCAACTTGTAACAGTTTATTTTTAGTTAATTTCGATCCAACACCAAAGAAGAATCAGCAAAAGGCCTGTTGGGCACTGTCAGTTCAACTGTCGCCAGTCATTTCTAAAAACTTTCTTTCTGAACAGTCATATAAGGATACTATATCTTTGGTGCATCATTGTCTTCATCTACCAGTCATTGGGTAGTGATCCTAAACGCAATTGCAGAAACACTAATAAAAAAAAGAGGAAAATGAAGTGTTGGAATGAGAATGCTTGTCATGATTCACTATTAAAATTTAATAAAATCTCAAAAGCGAATATGAACTTTTATGCAAAGGTTTATGCTAAAAGAAAAGATTCAAGTCGAATCTTCCATATATGATCTTGATTAAATATTTGCTGTTGTCTAGCTTGCAAGTCCGAAGGAATATATTAAATGGTGTCAACTTACTGACTGGTAGCTGATCAGTCGAGACTTTGTGTTCAGGCCGAGTCGATTGTGAACGGAAATTACCAATACAATTAGTAACTAATTACTGTTTTAATACATATTACTTCCAATATTAAACGAGTGGACCGCAATCATTACAATCAAATGCTTTACGTATTCGCTTAGTGATCATTGATAAATATCATTGTGATTACCTATCTCTGTTGATTGATGCAGTTTGTGTCACATTCTCTAGCACGCAAGCGGAGATGTCCTTACATTACTTTCTCCTATCACTCAATTGATATCTGTATCATTGTCGTATTATGAAATCTTTATTAGATGTAAATCATAAGAGACCAGGTTGAATACGGAAAATGTCATATGGCACTAATGCGAGATGTGGAAATACTTACCTTTAATGGAGATGGTACCGCATATTCTGCATTGTGGGACAGCATAATATACGATTGGGAGCATCGCCGAAACTTTTACGCGGAAATGGTGGAAGATTGAATTTAAGACGTTATCTATGAAAGCATATAAACGGAGAAAACACACGGGACATTTAGTTTTACAGTTAGCAAGCGATATTCTACAAACAACAATAAAGATGGACGATGAAGCCGATAATTGCTTTTTTCATCCTGCACATCATAATATCAATATAAGATTTACTGTTTACAGTAATACGTGTGTACATATCGACCTACGCTCTGTTTCAGTAAATACGCCGTGAAGCAATGAGTGCATTTATACAGAGAATTGCAATACTCTGCCCTATTCTTTGTGGGCGGTTTGTTCTTCTCGTGGTTGTGCAGCTGTAGAGCAATTAGTATAGAAGACGAACACAACGATGATGATGGGGATGGGGATGATGATGTAATCAATGCATTTTGCTATTTCATTCTTTCTACGTTGACATTTAATTTGTTAGTCTAATCATTCGTATAAATGGTGGCACCAAGATTTTATTCCGCATACGGAACTTCTAACCCCTTTAGACAATCCGGTGCTCCGACCAATCAAAGTAATTGACACCGTTTCTACCATGAGTTGTAATCAAGGGGGGTTAAATGTTGATTTCAAAGCAAAAGACCACGAGTCATAACGATAAAGAGAGAGCATTTATAATAGTAGATTATTAAGATATCCTGTTCAGTGCATTTTCACTAGCAGTAGCGAGAATGAGAGGTGTGATATTAAGGATAAGATACGAAATTGCATTCTAATCAAATAAATAGAACGAACACATCAGCTATATTGAGTCGTTCCTTGTAGACATTTCCCCAGAAGAAACGTATGTTATGACGAAATTTAATCTATACGTTTACGTTATTTACAGTAGGTAACTTTGTGTATTCTAATACTGTGTACGAAATGGCATGTAGGACATGGTATGAAGAATGATATGAGGCAAGTAGCTGCATATACTATGTCATCATGTAAATAAATAAAGCATAATATAAATAAAGATATTCAATTATATTAAAGAAACAGCTCCTTGTGTATGACTGATAACTTTACCTTTAATCGTTCGATAACAAGCTTAAAATCCATTAATTTATTGGATACGTGTCGACCTGTTCTCTTGATCCTTATAATGCCACACCGTTCTAATAGTTGTCTGCAATCAAGCATTGTGTGTATGCGTATGCAAAGGCTCACTGTAATCAGATATTTGTAAAAGCGGTTCATTGTAAAACTGGGCTTGCTATAATCAGTGATTGCGTTCAACATGTAAATAAGAGCATCGAGATGAACGACGACGAATTAAGAGAGTGCGGGGATACAAACTGCGTATATGGTTATGTGCGAGTCCTCGATCTATGATTCCATCGCAAAATATTTGCAGATTAAGTTAGAACTCAAACGTGTACCCTAATCATCAGGTTAAAAGAGCGTTGTATGCAAGTCTTCTATTATATTGCTGTTTATAAATACAGCATAGACTAATAAAATGCATTAGATACAGATATCGTAGCGTTTTCTTGCACACATCCGATATCACTTATACTGATAAAATGCGGAGTAGTCATACAATAAATGATTAATATATAAATAACAAAATAAATATAAATGGTATGTTAATATACACCATAGATGGCAAATCAAATACGCAAGATACTGGTATGATATATTTAGACTGGTTAGAGTCTTCGGCACACAGAATACGTTCTAAATGCGTTCACAAGATGTTTCAGATTTCCCCATACCCCGTGAGTATATTTGCATGCACTGATTGGTGGCACAATGGCTCCGAGAATCGTGTGCAAAAGCAGGACAGATCCAGTAGATAACAAGAGAAGGAATAAACAATGGTGAGATCTTGGCAAACAGCGGTAGCAGCAGGATATATATGACTATTTTATTTATTTATATATAACATTAATACTCACAAGTGGGGAATCAATGCGACTGTCGGTATTCTGAGTATTCTTTTTCATAATTACAATACGATATTGGATCAATATATTCTTACAATGAGGATATCGTCATTAACATCGGCATCGCAATAACTATACTCGTACCAAACCCATTATTTTCTGATTACAATGCAAGCGTTAACGCTAAATATTCAAATATACTAAATACATCACTTGTTAATTAACTTAATTTATTCATTATTCACCAAGTAACTACTGGCTTATAAACTAAACCAAACTAAACGACTCCAATATTGGTGGGCTTTACTTTCTGTCGATGCATCTCATTTACCGAAATCCTCACTGATTAATACAAACCACTAACTACAAGCATCGTCTATAAGCTACTCTATTCTATCTTATTCTCACTGTCGCTTCAAATCATCTGCCCCATTCATCAAATTAATATATTTACCTCGTTCGACACTTCCATTTCTTATTTCCTCTGTAAAACCTTGAGCGAAACGTGATAAATTCACAAATTAAAGTCAGAAAAACCGATACAAATTCTATAAAAGCCGTCCCCCAGTAATCCAGACAAACTTTATCTCTCCCGGAGAGCTTGTAATGTCGCAAAATTAAACATAATATTATAACAAGCACATGGAATCCAATTTTTACTAGCATGAACGATAATCTGAATATCCGACATAATTATAATCATCCCATTATGACAACACCTTTCAACTTACCTTCTCTTGATTCCATTAATTTCTCTGCTATCCAACATCAATTGAACCAACAACAAGACGTCGTAAATGCAACAACAGCATCGTCTGTTGCAACAACTCCAACAGCTTCTCCTCAACAACTCAATCAAGAATCCCAACAAGTTCCCTTTCAATCAACCCAATTACTACAACAGCAGCAACAGCAACAACAACAACAACAGCAGCAACCACAACAACAACAGCAGCAGCAGCAGCAGCAGCAGCAACATCATCATCATCATCAACAACACAATCATCATCATCATCAACATCATCTCTCTTACGAATCAATACCTAGATCCTCCCAATTCTTAGTACAACAGGCTTATCCACAACAAGAGGTATTTCAACAAACAAACCAACATTTACAGTCTTCTAGCATGCCAGAGTCATATTCGTATGCCTCTTTTCAGACACCACGCGTCGATAGCAACTCGTTCGATGCCGAAAATGGAGAGCAAACGGCTAACTCAAATAATACAAACAACTCTTCCTCAAACGGTATTGTGGCTGAAAACCACGCAAATTCCGTTCATCGAGACAAAACTGTCCCTCTTCCGGATGGTTATCAACATACCCCTGGTCTAGTTCACTCCTCTTTTGTCAAAAGAAGGCTATCCACTCCGATCGAGATTGAGCAACACGACAGCAACCACGTTGCACACAGAGCTCGTTCACAAACCTTACCATTATATCAGACAAGCTCGTACCAGCAACATATCCCTACCCATTTAAATGATATGAATTCTGGTCGTTTTGCACCAGCCCCATATCCTGCTACTAACTCCTTCCTAACTTCACCAATGTCTGTGGATCGCCGAACTGTAAATACCAATATTCCTCTTATCTTCTTATGAAACTGCTTGTGTCTTTCAAGAAAAAAAAACTCTCCCCTAAAAAAGAAACCAGCTTTCACAAGAAAGCTGCTGGTGTTTGAAAGAGCCAATATTTTCCGTATATTCTCTTGTCGCTTATAAGTTTCTAATGTTCTTGTTTTATTTTTTAATGCTGCTAAACAGAAATTCGAAGAGGCTTCAATGCCACGAACGGGTACTCCAGCTATTGACCCCGCATTTACTCACGACCCAGCTATGAAAATCCATCCGCCACCTAGCGCTATGGGTTATTACGGTTCGCCTCAAGTCAATTACGACCGTAGCTTGCACGCTAACGCGATAACAGCTACAATACCAACGCCTCAAGACTATCCAATGACGCTAGCAGGCAGGTTTCCCAGTAGCAACATTGGTGGGCTGCCGTCGAATGGTGTTGCAAACAAACCTCAAAACCAGGGACCCACACGACCACCGCCAGTGCCTGCTCCCGCAACAATGATGACTACTTTCAGCTCCAAGACGGTCTCTTCAACCCCTAAACGTTACAAATGCAATACTTGTCAGAAGCGTTTTACTCGTCCGAGTTCTCTACAGACACACATGTATAGTCACACTGGAGAGAAGCGTAAGTTATTCACTTGCTCATAGTTCTTTGATCGTATCAAACCAGTTTCTTTGTAAAATCACACAACCACTGACATAATCTTTGGGTCTCTGCTTACTTTTTTCAACGGTTATTTAATTTCGTACATGCACTGGATGATCCGAAATGTAGCATTCAAATGTCCGTTTGATGGATGTGGTCGTCACTTCTCAGTTGTTAGCAACCTTCGTCGTCATCAGAAGATCCACGCAGCTCCTTCGTAACGACAACAAGCTACAAGTTCGAAGTTTTTCAAAAAAAAGATCACGATTGCCCCAGAAATAAAGAACAATATCACATTGCGAGGCAGCCCAGCTCCTGTCTACTTGAGTCTGATTTCTGGGGCCGACTATTTTACTTGTCTAAACGCGCAGGGTCGCATCAATGGGCCAGATAGTTCTTGTAAGATTGTTCGAAATCATTTCATTTCTTTTTTTTTTTTTTATCTTTTTTTTTCTATCTTTTTTTTTTCTTCTTTCTTCTTTTCCATCTTTGTTTGAGATGCAAAACACTTTATGGTGTCGAATCCACTTATACATTTTCCCCTTATAAAAAATAATTATGACATTTCTTCCATCACGTATTGATAACTTGCTATATGCTGTACGGAGAGCAATTATATCCCCCCCTTTTCATTACCTTGCGCAAGGTTTGTGCGTTCATCTGTATAATAGTCTCTTAAGTTTGATACTTGCAAAGCTCGGTACGGTTTTGTCGTTGGATAATCTATGGTCATCATTTATTTCGCATTTGCATACATCACCTGAGCGAATATAATTCATAAAAACATATGGACGACGGCTTTCCAGCGGCTGATATTGGCGACGTTTAATTTGGCCACCATCAATGGAATTTTTAATGATTCTCACCGCGTTTTTTGATAAGTGCAAATAAGCTTGATTGATCTTGGTCCTTAGAACAAGATCCCATTAAGTAAACTAAGAGTCATTGCCTATGAGTCATTAAATTTCATTTATTCAACTGATATAGTTTTAGGCGATGATATGTGGGTTTGTTTTTTGCCGACTACTGTATCAATGCCGATGACGTTACGTATATTTTAAGAACTCTTCATTCGTTGCCCTTTTTTCTTTAGTCCTCTGATTATTCCAGCATCAAATTGCTCACATTACGCGGCCAATCATTTCCCTTAACGAATACAAATTTTGTTGACATCTAAAAAATTTTTATAACAATGTCATCAATAAATATAATACAGTCAAACCTCGAAAAACCGATACTGCGAAAAACCGATAACTCCCAAACCGATACTTTTTTCAATCCCCGTGCAATTTATATATGGGCCAGATTGTGAACATTTGACCACGTGAACCCACAATGGCTGGTGTGGCTTGGCGATTGCCTGATGAGGTAATCATTAATCTTCCTCCACATTCCACAAGATTTCCTAAAATCATGTGACTAACTGCGGGTAATGACATTCCTTCGCACAATGTGCTCTCGCTCGGCGTTTTCTTGCAAAACTTGCGCCTGTTTCGTTGTTGGAATCATGAGCAACATTGCAAGATGCTAAGAAAGAATACGATAGATGTGTTACAAAGCTGGGAAGACTGAGCGAACTGAGGGGCAGGCTGCGGGAAGAATTCGAGAATGAAAGAGAAATGAGGAAGTGGCAAGCTGAGAAGGACGAGCTGGAAGGAGAGCAAGAAGAGTTGAAAGATGAGAAGAATGAATGGAAGGAGCAGGTCCAAGAATTACAATGTGCATTGGTGGCAATTACAACAGCAGCAGCACGTAAGCAAACTAAAGCCTCAATTGCCTGTGTTACTCGTTCCCATGTTGATCAATAGTCTATTAATCGTATATTTTTCCACAGAACGACATGCGAAATGAAGCGCTGAAGAAGAGCTTCATCACCAATATCTAAACCGACTTGAGCGGCTTCCCGCTCCAAACGAATTGGGGAAAACATATACTCAATCCAGCGAAGATCCCCCATCCTAAATCATCGGCCACCAAAAGCTGAGGGAATCCCAACCGAACTTCTGCACTCTGTGTTTGGACAGTTTCTGGACGATTGCACGTCCGCTCAACCGACCGTGGATGACATCCAGTTTGCTGTTTCAGTCAGCACCTCGATGCTTGGGTATTATAACTTTGAAAAGGGATCGCGCGGAACGCTTGCGAAATCTATTCGCAGATCACTATGACGGTACGACAATTCGTAGAACGATAACCGTGGCACCTCACGAGTACGTGGCGATGAATATCGATGTGAAAAATGAGCCTGGCTGCAACGGCGATCGGTACATTCAAACCAGCGCCTACTACAACCAGTACATTCTTAACCGGAGACGAGCAGGCTTCCCTGCATCCTTGTTTCTGTAGTTGGTACGAGCAGTCTTGGTTTTTTTTCTTGCGTTGTTTGAGTGGTTTATAATCTCTATTTTCTGGTCCGCAGATCCGATATTTAGCATCTCAAACGTCATTTACGGCGGAAAGATCATCGTAGACGTGTACCCTTTTACGCTGTTTCTCGCTTGCTCTTTCTATAATCTTGAGCATTTTGCTCTCATTTTTGGAGCTCTCAGGAACGCTGTCGACAAGTTTCATCAGTAACCCTATTCCGCAAATCGAACCGAGCCAGCGAGCATTCCCATACCTCGACTTGTTCCAGAATGACAACGGCGACCGTGTTTGCTTCAAATATCACAAGAATTTGGATCCAAATCCTCTTCTCTTTATCGTTGATGTGGAAGACGCCATTGGACTCCCGGAACAGCTTCTTGTCAAATTCGCCCGCCATTATGCATAGCTCACAGGGATTGTACAAGGTTAGGAATTGCTCCCGAGCTTTATGGCTTTGAGAATCTTGTGGGCGGTTGGAAAGTAATCGTGATGGCCTACAAGGATGACGGCTTTGCGACGCTATTTGGACACACATTGGATGGGAAGATCAAGGCAGTTCTCGACACCTCGACACCAGGATGCAGTGGCCCATCAGCCCATCTGTAATCCAGAACGTTTGATTCAATTTTTATTATGTCGACACATGATAGTGCACTCTGAAGCTTCTTTTATTAGAGGCATGCGAAGGAGCGAGAAAACGATTGCAAAAAATGATAAAGATTGTATACACATGAATATTAATGAGCACAAGGCTTGATCCATAGGTAAACTAGGTGTTCGTTCATCGTCTGACTAGCCATCTTTGGACGATTATTACATGGCGTTTTGTTATCCAGCATAAAAGTGTGATCAAAACGGGCAGAGCTCAACAATGTATAATTCCTGCTGTTGCATAGCACACACGGGCTGCTCGCAACTTTGATACACACAGGCAGCAAAATTCAAATCATGAATCAAAGAAGTAATAAACTCGCACGCTAAAAAAGTTCGTTCTACACTTGAAGAACCTCACTTATTTGATGCATACAAACAGCTATGCAGACATGCTAATTACTTTTTCTATTTAACAGATGCTCCTGAATAATGTTTCCGAAAAGTTTTCCGTTTCCGGCGGTTGATAGCTCCATCTTGGCTTTATTCCTATATAAAAATATAAATATGAAACTAATTTACATTAAATCCACAATGGAACCAAAAAATTACAGCACAATCCGAAGTATTTTAAAGAAAGAACAAGGTGAAAAAATTGCACCCTATATTTTTAATCTAGCAGATACCAAATCTTTGCAATAAAGAAAAAATTACTTATGAAATTTCCCAAAAGGGAAAAGATTAGTATAATTCTTCCTTCAAATCTTTTATTGTCTCATCTTTATCTTCACTTTTTTTGTAACTTTTCATAGATAATTCATGTCATTTGTCAGCTTCTACAATTCAGTTTTGAGTTTTTCTGCTCCAATACGAGTTTCAGCCTCCTCCTTCATTTCTTTTTGTAATCATAAATTAGACTTTGTAAGTTCATTAATTTTAAGAGAATTTTTCTCTAACTTCTTTCTAAAACGACTTCATTATGCATAGTTTCTGCCAATGCCTGAAAATTTGCTGGATCTTTCACTAAGAAAATCTCAATTATCTATTTAGCTCTTTAATCTTATGATTAATTTTAACTTTAAAACTTACTAATACTAACAGCAATATAAAAAACTATTGAAGTTTGAATATTTTATTCATTATCAGTATAGATTGGCTTGGGACAAGTATAATTAATATCTTTAAATTCATTTCTAACAAATGGACGAATGTTTTGAGGAGTTAGTACTAAAATAGATAAAGATTAATTTCTTTGGTAATTTCAGCAACATTTACCTTTCTGTTTTTTCACAAATTAAATCCATGAGCAACTGTTTGAGTTTTATTTAACAATGTCACAATTAGTTGCTTCTGTATTTTTAATTATTTAAAACAGAATTAAGATCTAAATATTGAAAACCTTTTCCATTTTCATAGCATTGAGCTTTATTCAAGCCTGCTGAACTGGATTTTTTCACTATTCAACAATATGATTTATGCAATCCACAGTAGTTTTTTTGTAGAGTTTTTTTTTAAATCAGTCCAAAACTGCCATCACATTTGAATTTGGTAACCACAAATTACCAAATGCAAATAAAATCAGATAGTGATATCTGGCCACCAGCATTACATTATCACAAGTAATTTTCACCTCTAATTGATTGGGTTATTCTATTAATACTTCTTCCTGGACTTTTGGCAGACCATGAATCTCAGCATAATTATCTAAAACGTTTTTCACAGCAGTGGCAACATTTTGATCGATATTGCCATGAAGTCTTGAAATTAAACATATTAAGATATGTTTCTTGACATAAAGGTGTGTTGTGATTTCAACAATAGTAAGTTTTTTTATTAGATCTGATTTTCTTTTCAAACGTCTGCTGGTCCACCATCCATTGCTTTAATTTGTGCCATTAGAAATGCATCTTGCTCTCTCACGTAATTCAGCGAAGCTTTCCTTTGGAACTTTGGTTGAGCAACCACAACCACAACCTTTTTCCATACTCAGCGGAACCCACCAATCTTATTTTTCATATACATATAACCCTATATATTAATTTTATTACTTATTAACATTTGTTTAACACGATATTTTTGTTTAAGTATTACAATTTTGCAAAGGTGTATATAAGGCATAAGTCAGATAAATGAAATTTATAAAACAACACAGTTCACAGGCAACAAGAAAGTATTCATCTGTAATACCAGTATTGCTTTGTCGTGTGATTGTCAATATAAAAACTGATTCAAAATGCTATGGCTTATCACACCCTTTGCCTACCGAAAATTTTATGCCAATAATACGTACTGATGAAAAATTTTTGCGTTCTCTTCTTCAAGTTAGTGTAATTTCAATTACCTGATCACCAGGTGAAACGCCCGAATATGCCCGTTGCTGGCGATGTTAACGTTTTCTGCGTGTGCTGATGACTAAGTGCACAGTTATATCCGGGCGTTTGAAAAGTGTGGCATCTCATTGCCTATAAGATGGCTCCCGGGATTGGTATAGAGTTTATGATTCTAGAAATAACTTGTTAGTATACTATGCAACTAAAAAGGCAATATTACATATTCTTTTTTTATATATAGAGTGAATATTTAAAAATTCATATCTTTATCACTTTGCATGATTTTTTTAGAATTAACTTTATGTCGAGGCTTAAATTAGTTATTACAATTACTAATTTGATCTGGCATACATTTTCCCTACAGTCAAATCATTTAATTCCAAACGTTTCACCATTTATAATAACAAAATATAAAAAAAGGAACACGCAAATTGATAAGAAATTTCAATTTTGAAGATTCAGGTTCAAAATTGCTACAACATTTATATAGCCCGCGGTTCCCGATCATCTGATTCGCAACAGTGCTGGACCAATTATTGTCATTAATCCTAAGTGCCACAACAATCTGCTTGCGTAGTAGTAGGAACCACTAGTAACCTAGCCATGGCGAAAAAAATCATGTGAAAATGTTCGGATCGGAGCGTCCGAGTTGGAAGCTGATGTGGTACCTTGTTGAACAGTAAACAAATCGCTGAAAGGAGAAGAAGCCTTACATGCTCATGATACATAGTCAGTAGAATGCTTGGCCGAAAAGTGAAGGCTCACAT